GGCTCCTTAGCCAGGCATGGTGGCACATGCCTGTATTTCTAGCTACTTGCAGACTGAGGCAGGAGCACTGCAAGTTCAAGACCAGCCTGGGCAAATTAGTGAGGCTGTCTCATACTAAAAATTAAAAAAAAAAAAAAAAAGTCCCCTTACTTTACAGAGGAGGAAGTGCCGCCCAGAGAGGTGAGGAACTGGCCTGTAATCACACAGCTTTTATCATTTCTTCCCTTCTATGTCCTTTGGGATACACCTGCTGTTTTTCTTGTTTCTTTAGAGTGGAGATTTAGATCATTGATCGAAACCCTTCTTCTTGTCTAATATATTTAAAGCAGTAAGTATCACTCTAATTACTGCTTTAGCTGCATCCCAAAGTATCAGTATGAAATGCTTTGTTTTCATTATTAGTCAGTTTTAAAATATTTTCTAATTTATTTTGTGATTTCATTGACCCATGGATAATTTAGAAGTGTGTTGGTTAATTTCCAAATAGTTGGGATTTTGCTAGATATCTTACTGTTACTGCCATCTAATTTTTATTTATTTAATTGGGTTTTTTTGAAACAGGGTCTCTTTATGTAGTTCACACTGGTCTTGCACTTGTTATGTAGCCCAACCTGACCTTAAATGGCTTCAAACTTGCAGTGATACTCCTGCTTCAGCCTCCTAAGAGCTGGGATTACAGGTGTGTGCCACCAGATTTCTAACTTAGTTGTAATTTGGTCAGAGAACATTATCCGCAAGGTTTCAATTTTTGAAATGCATTTATACTTATTTTATGATCAAACATATGGTCATCTTGGTAAATAATTCATGTGAAAGTATGTATATTCTGTAGTTCTTACGTGTAGTTTTCTATCAGTATCAGTTAGGTTAAGATGATGGACAGGGGGCTGGGGATTTAGCTCAGTGGCACAGTGCCTGCCTGACAAGTGCAAGGTCATGAGTTCGATTCCTGGTACGGGAAAAAAAAACCAAAAAAAGAAGATGATGGGCAGGGTTGATCAAGTCTCCCACATCTTTAGTGATTTTTTTGTTTTGTTTTTGATCTACTTGTTCTACTCATTACTGGGAGAAAAATATTAAAATCTCTAATTATTTAGTCACAAAAAACCACATTTTATATGATTCCAATTATATAGTATTTCCAGGATATAAAAAATTAGGCAGAAATTAGTCTGCAGATCTTTTCAAGGCTTGGTTTTAAATTGGTGTGTGTGTGTGTGTGTGTGTGTGTGTGTGTTTGTGTGTGTGTCTTCCCTAAACTATCTTCGTACATCCTTAACCTATTTTAGTCCACTTAGAGTTAACATCGTACCAATATTAGAATACTTTACACTTCCCACTTGACACATCCCATTTCCTGCTTCACACCTGACACGCTCAATTTACAAATGTATCATCCACAACAGCAGAATTCTGTTTTCCTGCCCCCACACTTTGTGCTACTGTCATAACTTTTGCATGTGTTAGAAGCCCAACTTACAATGTTATTATTTTGCCTTAAACAGGTGTCCTCTAAGGAAATTATGACAAGGGAAAAAGTATTTCATGCGTACCAACTTCTGAGCCTTGTACAGTAGGGCTTACTTTAGATCATGCTCCTTACCCCGGAATACGGCCTTCCTGTAGTTTCAGATGAATGCCTGAAGTGTTCAAGCATTGTCCTTTTAGTCTGGGCTAGACCCTCAACATCTTCCAGAACTGCTAACTTCTGTGGTCTTTTTTCTGTTCTCAGTCACATAGCAGCTGTTCTCTGATAAGAGTCACAGAGTCTCAACCTACACATACCAGCATGGTCCCCAGGCAAGGATTTGCAGTGAACCTCCACATAGACTTATGGGAACTCCTTTCACTGTAACCCCTCCTCTGTGATGCACTGCTCCACGGATTCCAGCTGCTTCACCAGCTCTGAACTCTGGCTTTTGCCACCCCAACTCAGCTGGACTCTGCTCTGCTTGTGGTCTTGTTCCCTGCACCGGACTCAAGGGGCTCCTCCCAGAGCTAAGAGCTAGGGTGGTGGTGGGGCTCACGCTGTGTTTCCCTTCTGTGATGATTGTATTTTCCTAAATGACCACAGTGATATCTCCCACTCCTGCACTCTTCTCACACATCCTTGTCCCACCAAGTGTGGGATTGAGGTCCCCTCCCTCTGGAACCTGGGTGGGACTTGGGACGGCTCTAGCCAGGGGAGTACAGCAGAAGAGATGAGAAGCAACTGCCAAGTCTACGTCACAAAACCATTCGTTCGTTCTCCCTCCCCCATCCCACCATCCTCAGGACTCATCACGTTGTGAGGAAACCCACGGCGAGAGATCATACAGACAGATCGACATGGACTAGATCAGAGGCCCTCCGCGGACAGCCAGCACCAACTACAGAATGTGAGTAAAGTCTTTAGAGGATCCTAGCCCCAGACACTGTAGAACACAGGTAAATTGCTCTGATGTGTCCTGCTTGAAATTCTGACCCACAATATTGTGAACTTAATAAAAGGTTGTTTTATTTCATTAAGTTGGGGTAATCTGTGATATAGTCACAGTGATTGCAATATCACTGCTAAGGAACTGCACCTCTAAGGAATTCATTGTCCAAAGCTGAAAATAGTTGCCTCACACATTTTGTCTTGTGGTATTGCTGTGAGATAGGTAGTCTCCAAGCCAGAACTTTGTGTGTGTGTGTTACTGGGGACTGAAGTTCAGTGGCACTCTACCACTGAGCTACATCCCCAGCCCTTTAATTTTTATTTTGAGATAGGGCCTTACTAAGTTGTCCAGGCTGTCCTCAAACTTTTGATCTTCCTGCCTCAGCTTCCTGGGATTACAGATGTGCACCTCATTCCCAGCTACCTAGTTAACACTCCAACCTAAACAATATTATTACTATTATTATTTTTTGGTCTTTTTTGAGACAGAGTCTCGCTATGCAGTTCAGGTTGGACTTGAGCTCACTTTGCAGCCCATGCTGGTCTCGAACTCACAATAATCCTCCTGCCTCAACCTCCCAAGTGCTGGGATTACAGGTGTGCACCACCACACCCAGCTAACAATATTATCTAAATAACAGTAAAGATGGGGGCTGGGGATTTAGCTCAGCGGCAAAGCGCCTGCCTGGCAAGCGCAAGGTCGTGAGTTCGGTTCCCGGTACCAGAGAAAAAAAAAAAAAAAAAAAAAAGAAAGTAAATAACAGTAAAGATGATTTTAACATCAACAGCAATATTGAGAGCAACTAATTTCTATGTACTAGGTACAATACTGAGCATTTCACATTCATTAGCTCCATGAAACCACACAAGTCTTGTGAAATAGGCCTTATTAAGCTCCACTGGTTATTTGGATTATCCTGGTTTGGATACAGGTATAGAAGCCCATGCAATTAACCATATAGAACAGACATATTATACTTTCCAGAGTTTTTGTGCTTTTAAAGTATTTCTTATGCTTAGAGTTAAAAATTCCCCCCCAATTTATGTTAAATAGATTGAGAGGGACTCAGTCTGCTAGATATTAAGTTTCCCAAGCACACCCCAAGATGAAATTCTCTCCATCTGGGGCCACCACAGGCATGGGCAGCAGAGATATTGTCTCTGTTTCCCTGCCAGTGACTGCCCCAGACTGAACTTGGTGGGAGGTGGGGTGGGACCCAAGTCTTGGCCTGGTAGAAGCGATCTCCTGGGGCCATGGGACTCTGTAATTGGTGCTGTAAGAGTCTAAATTCACAGAAACAATGTGAGTTCTTGAGTACACAAAAGTAAAGAGCACAAAGAAAGTAAGAGACTAGTGCTTGGAAGGGGAGGGGCTGAAGGAGTTGGAGAGAGAATCCTTTGTTGAAGCAAGTTCTTTTCCAAGTATTCCAGATGCTGCCTGTGGTGGCAAATGCCTGTAACCTCAGCAGCTGGGGAGGCTGAGGCAGGAGGCCTGAAAATCCGAGCATAGTCTGGGCAACTTAGTGAGACTCTGTCTCAAAATAAAATTAAAAGGAAAAGGGGGCGCTGGGGCTGCAACTTAGTGGTAGAGCACTTGCCTATCACATTCAATCCCCAGCTCTGCAAAAATGGAAACAAATATTCCAGAGCAGTGATAGGAACTGGCAGATAGAAAAAAAGATTTATTCAGAGAGGTCATCCTCTTTCTGCGCGTTTCCCCAATTTAGCTGGCCCTTCCTAGGAAAGGGGAGTAGGGAGGGTACCCAGAAGCTTCAAAATGACAGCCTTAGGGCAGAAAGCAAAGTCTTAGAGAAGCAAGAATCTCAGGACAGAGCGTTGGGATCAGTAATTTAGAATGTATGTACATCCCTTCTTTAAATAGTGGAGAATAGATTCTATCCTTGAGAAGCATAACACGGAGATGCTTCCTTGGGGAAGAAAGAAGTGATACTCCTATGCTATTACAAGCACCTTTACATGGAAAACAGATGGCCCAAATCGATTCCTGCCCCATCTTTAAAAAAAAAAAAAAAAAACCCTTGTGCAACCTTGCAGCGCACACGAATCCGTTGCAGAAGAGTGAAATGGGCAATCTTTGGTTCACACCCCCGCCCCCACCTCACCCTCGCCTTTCAAGTTCAGTCCTGAAGCACTGTTTAAATCTCCTTATCAGTACATGGAGAAAACATGGTTCTGAGCTGTTGAAACAATTGCACTAGCTGGGCAGGGGAGCCCATGGCAGGAGGCCAGGGTTCTCCCAGCGCTCAAGCAGTCATCAGGATGCCCTCCGCTACACCACTGGGGACTTTTCTGGTGAGTGAACGTCGAGTTTCCCCAGTCTGGGCAGTGAGAGTTGGGTTCCCGGTCAGCCCCAGCTTACCAGTCCGGTCTGGTCGCTGTCCCCGCCCTGGCCCGCAACAATCAATGCGGCCCCGCGTGCCCGTGTGTTCTCTGCTTTGGCACAGGCAAGAATTGTGCCCCGGCTCTTTGTGTGCAAGTGTAAAGGGGGCACCCGCAGCCTGTCCGCTCTGACGGGACGGCTGTGGCTGAGCTGCAGTCTCGCCAGGCACACACCCCGTACCTCCGCCTCCTTGCGCAGCTCCCGGCTGACGCGCTCGGCCGGCTGGGCGTCCAGGCCGCCCCACAGCAGCAGCGGCAGGGCGCGCAGCAGGAGGCCCACGCGCGCCACCATCGTGCGCGTCGCTCCCGGCACCGGGCGCTGAGAGCCTGGCGCAAGGGGCGCCGGCCGTCGGTGGGCTGCGCCGAGGACCCGGGGGATGCGCCGGCTCTGCGCCGCCGCCTTGCGGGCAGAAACGGCCCCAGGCGCTCGCCTGTGCCTGGCTCCGCGACCTGGGTCTCTCCTCCGCCGCGCTCCTTCTGTCCGTCGGGAGCCTGCCGAGGTCGTCCACCCCGGCCGTGCCTGCCCCGGGTCCGCCAGTCTGCAGACTGCGGGAGGGAGGAGGGACGAGAGGAGGCGGGCTCGGCGCTCCCAGCGGGTCCCACCCACCCCGCGCAGCCTAGGCGACGCGCTTAGCTCCCGGAGCCTCTTCCGCCGCCTGCACCTCCTCGCCCTGCGGACCAGTTGTCTCGCCTGCCATCTCCAGTTGGTCCGCATATCTCCGAACAGGGCAGAAGAAAGATCTCCTGGCAGTCTTGGACGAAAAGTGGTCCCGAGTCGTGGTCTGTTTATCAGGCGGGGTGCGAGGCCCTGGGGTGTGGGAGAAGGAGCCTTGGGCTGCGGTCTGAAAAATTAGGTTTGCGTTTCAGGCATGCTTCTTTGAGACTCCTGCCTCAGCCACGTACTGACCGTATGGTCTTGGACCAGTCACTCACCGCCTCGGAGTCTAATTTGCACAGCAGGAAAGAGGGTATCAGTAATACACATCTCATGTGATTGTTGGGAAATTTTCACAATAATATTGCCTGTAAATAACTGACATCAGGGGCTGGGGATTTAGCTCAGCGGCACAGCGCCTGCCTGGCAAGCGCGAGATCATGAGTTCGATTCCCGTGTACCGGAAAAAGAAACAAAACAACAACAACAACAACAGACAATAACTGACATCATGAATAAAATGGAAAATGGTAGGCTTCAGCTGTGTGACCGTTAGCAGATGATTGAACTACCTAGAGGTCGTATCTTTATAAACAAAATAGCAAGGGCTGAGGAAGTAGTTCAGTGGTAGAGCACTTGCCTAGCATGCAAAAGGCTCTGGGTTTAATCCATAGTACCGCGCGCGCGCGCGCGCGCGCGCGCACACACACACACACACACACACACAGCAGAGAGTGAGAGAGCGAGAGCAGCTGAGATTAATTTAGTTTCCAAAGTTGCATGAAGAAAAGAAAATAAGTGTGAAGTGCCTTATATAGCCCATACAGTCTTATAGGAAGACTGCAATCAAAAGATTTCCATGAAAACTTTTGCTAAACTCCTACCGAGCAAAAATAAACTCATTAACTGCCTTTTGTAACCAAGAGCATGTTGCAGTCTCTCAGCCAGCCTCAGTTCAGTCATTTGTGAACTAAAGTTAGACCAATGATATTAACTTGTGGAAGTTTTTAGATGAGTCTGTGTAAAAATAATCTGGAATCTATAACTTACTAAACAAAATGAATACAGCATTCTGACTGCCTAGCCTCGAGGCTTCAGTAGCACAGTTTTGTTCTAGTTAGAAAAAGACACGTTAGTTGGAGGAATCAGAAAAATCTCTTTGAGTAGACATCTTATGAGCAGCCATTCCTTTGGTGCCACTTAGTTGGAAATAATCCCCCTTTCTTACCTTCCAACCAACAATAAAAAAGAGACACCACTCATCCGGGGGGACCAATTAGGAATAGGTGCTTATCTGGGGAGACCAATGCGGAAAGGTCACTCTCAATGGTGCAGATATGTCTGCCAGAGATCAGCTGGGAACAGAGTTGAGGATAGATTTCTTTGCTCATCTATGCTCCTCTCTTAGAGTGCCCCTGTATACATCCCTTCTAGGGTGCTGCCTCAGAGATGCTGGAAAGGCATGGGCCTTGCTCTCTGAGAGCATCCAGTCTAGCTGCGCTGAGCAGAAAGAAGGTTCTCAGCCAAAGACGGAACAGACTGACTTGGCAGCTGGTTTAAGCAAAATCCTGCAGTGGCCCTGGGGAGAGATTACAAAGGGGCGTGAGAAAGAGTTGCTAGAGTGAGCAAATAAAAATATAGGACCCCCCCCAATAAACTTGACTGTCACATTGATAGCAAATAACTGTTTAATCCCAATGGACACCATGCAATATTTGGGATATACTTATGCTAAAAAAAATTATTCATCACTAATCTGAAATTCCAGTTTAACTGAGCACTGTATATTTCATCTGGCAACCCAGGTTGTGTGTACATACGTTATAGGTATGACAACAGGCTATGGTAGCGTTGACCAACAGGTAGATTTTGAAGCTGCAGAAAGCCCTGCTTTAGATCAAGGAGCTGTGAAAGGCATCAGTTGGTGAGGACACTGTGGGCTGACCTGGAGTCCGGTCTGCAGTTTCCAAGTCTTTCTCCAGGCAAAATCTCTCCAATCCTTATTCCAACATATGCCAGAGGTTCTCCATTTCGCCTGCACTGAGAAGAGAGGAGAAGAGAGAAGCTGTGGCTCTCTGGAGGGCTGAATGTCTTGGAGGAAACAAGCTGGGCCACACAGACAGCTGATCTTGCCTTTCTTTGCATCCCAGGCTAATCCAGGCCCATGGACTCCTCAAACTAGAATCATGTGTTGCATCAGAAAATTGACTTCATTTCGTCTCGTTGGTTGTATTGTTTTCTCATATCCCGATCTTTTCCCACTCCATTTCTGCTTGTGGTCACTTAGACTCGGAGGTGCCTGTACGAATTTAGGCAGAGCAGAGCCCCCTCTATCCACACACTCACTCTGGGCTTCAGCCACACTTTTGCATAGGATATATCCTTATTTCCCACAAAGGAAGCGTGTTTTTATAGTTAACATCTGCATAACAGGGGGCTTTGGTCCCTTTTCACCTCCAAAAATTCTTCCTTAATCCAAGAGTACGAAATTCCTTGATCTTCTTCAACACTCAGAGGCCTGCAAAGCTTCACAACAGACTTGATGTATGTTTTCATTTTCTACGATATACCTGAGCCAAATAACATTGGATAGGGTAGGAAGGGAGGACAGCTTACTGCGTTCATGCTCAGGTATCAGAAGGGATCTGAGAAGGAAAGGAAGATGAGAAAGACAGGGCACTTTACTGGAAAGAGCTCATTCCATAGTGAAGGTGAGGAATAGCTTAGCAGGGATTCACAAAGCAAATTCCAAAGATGCCCCCGTCCAAAACAATACTTCGGTAACAAGTCCTTCTAGGGACCCAATATTATTTTTTCTCTGGTGAGAGTAGGGATGGGGATGGGAATAAGGAGTTGGAACAAATAATAATGATTAAAACTTGTTGCAAAATTAATATGTGCCACAGTTTGTAATTGCCAAATCTTGGAGACACCCCAAATGCCCATCAACTGGTGAACGGATAAAAAGGAGTTTTTTTTTTTTTTTTTTTTTTTTTAATACAGTGGAGTACTACTCTGCCACAAAGAAGGATGCGTGGGCTGGGGATATAGCTCAGTAGCACAATCACCTGCCTGGCAAGTGTAAGGTCCTGCATTCAATTCCTGGTACCAGAAAAAAATAAAATAAAATAAAAAAGAAGGATAAGCTTGCTGGGTGTGGTGGCGCATGTCTGTAATCCCAGCACTGGGGAAGGTGAGGCAGGAGGATCACCATGAGTTGGAGGCCAGCCTGGGCTACACGGTAAGTTTAAGGCCAGCCTGAACTACACAGTGCGATTCTGCCTCAAAAAAAAGGATAAGCTTGAGACATTCTTAGGTAAATGGATGCACCTTGAGACCATACTTGTAAGTGAAGTAAATTGGATATGCATGTGTAAATACTATATTTACAGGTGTGAGGACCTGAAAGTATAAATAAGGACCAAACTATATATTATGTATTGTGAATTAGGAAGAAAATGGTCAGATGGGGAGGGGAACAAGGGAGGGAGGAGAGGGAAGGGAAAGAAGGGAAAAGTAAAAAAAGTGAGAAAAGAAGGAAAAAATGGAAACAAAGCTTTTGTAAATGGAGAGGGGAGGAGGGGTTGAAGGGAGGGGAGGGGAATGGCAAAAGGAAAGAATTACGTTATATCATGTACAGGTACAAATTCTCTATGTGGAATGTGATCATTATGTATATCCAAAATGTACCAATAAAATCTGGTTGAAAAAATTAATATGTGCTATGTATGTGGTGTGTGGCTTACATAACTCATGTCATTGAATCTTTGTAACTTGCTTATGAAAAATTACGATAATCATCCTTATTTTATTTTTTTTTGTTGTTGTTTTGTTTTGGTTTTCCAGCACCGGGAACTGAACTCATGACCTTGTGATTGCCAGGCAGGCGCTGTGCCGCTGAGCTAAATCCCCAGCCCCACCATCCTTATTTTAAAGATGAGGAACTTGCGGCATGGAGATCATATCATTTGTCCAAGGTTATAATCTAGGAATGGAGCTAGGATTCAAACCTGTACGGCATAACTCCAGACCCTGGATCTGTTCTACTACACTGTCTTGCTTCAAGTCGCATTTATAAAATGTGATTCTTGGTCACTTGACATGAATCACCCAGATGCACTTGGGCTGGAGGATGGACTGCTTGCCTAGTACGCTTGAGGCCCTTGGTTCCATCCCCACCACACCCTCCTCCCAAATGTCAGATTCTGATGTCCACTCCAGACCAACCAAATTACCAAATTCCCAATGCCAGTGTCCAAGAGGAAGACAGCTCTGGATTTTCTAGTGGTCTAGTTCTCACCTCCCCTCCTATCCCATGTTGGCTGAGTGGCTTCTGACCCAGCTGGGCTGACCCCTCCTGTTCAAAGAGTACTATCTCCCCTTCCCTCCTGTCAGTCCTGGGGTCTGGCTCAACTCCAAAGGGTTTCCCGGCCGTCTCAGGGTGGGCAGGATTCCTGTGGAACTCATGGTGGGTCTTGGACATTGCCAACGGAGTGGCTAACAGCTGCCACTCAGGCCCATTTCTCTTGCTCTGTCAGGACACAGCAGGAGCCCTTGAATCAGGCAGGATGTGTGAATCTGGACAAAAAACCTCTAGCCTCAGTTTCTCTGTAAATAATAGGAGGAACAACTGGCTTTGTCTCCGCCCTTTCCTCCTCCCCAGGAAATATGCAGAACACAAAGCAGATTTTATCCGAAGGAATGTTGGGCCCTGGGGAAAGGCACTTAGGGGAGGACCACCCTCAAGAAACCACAAGAACAGGAAGAATAAGAGGAATAATGTGGGCAAGCGATGAGCTTGAGAGAGCTGGAGAGAGGCTTTCTCCAGGGTTGGGAGGGCTTCAGCTGGAACAATGTGGCTTCATTACTGTGGCTTCTGTATCTTTCACTGTGACGCAACTCCGAAAGTCCTGACTTTCTAGAACCAGCTCTGCCTGTGGCGGAGAGGTCTCCTTGCTCCAGCACATGCAGGGTCAGGCTCCTTAGGCTAAATCACATGCGCAAGCT